CGTAAAGAATGAAAGTCGAGAGTGGCATACACTCTGAAGTATTCCATGCCCTCGGCCCTAATCCGTAGCCAAGGCGAGATCATCCAGTCAGGATTTGCCGAACAGAGCATCTACCAGACCAGAGACTTTATTTGCACCACCCGAGGGAATACACAAAAATCTATTGTCCGTTCCTGTAGTCCTAGTGATGGTGCAAGTGTAAGTAGTTCTCTGCTCCGTATAGGCACTGTTCGGCAAACCCAGACAGGACGATATCATCTAACAACTCCATGTGTAATTCTGTAAAAGAAGAAACTATTATTTACCCAGGTATCAACTGTATCAACAATTCAGTATCAACACAAGTAGTAAGTTTAAAAGATTTATAAAAATGAGGTATAAGCAATGGGAAAAATAGATAACTTTTCTAACCAAACAAAATAATGTACATCGATCTTCACAGAGTGAGATGCCGATTTTTCATGAGCTTCAATCTTTAGAAAAAAAAATTCCTATTAACAATCAGCATGTACAGAAACCAGTATGAAAAAGCATGTACAGAAACCAGTATGAAAAATACCCTTTTAACGGAATGATGAGTTCTGGTCAACTGTGTGATTCCTCTATAGTATTCGTTGCGTTAAGCTTTTGTAGGAGAATAGTCATGACGGCTCGTGCTAGATTTCGTTGCTGCTCCGATGCGTCGACATCATCTGCACACATTGTTGTCCACTCAATCCAACCACGGACTTGTTCTTCGAAAAGCTCGTAGAAAACCTTGAAAGAACATTAAACTTTTCCGTGTTGTTTTTTCTAGAGGCATTACATATAGGGATGAAGGTCATTGTAGTGCAAATTTCCAGCAGCTTTTTGACGAAAGATCTCCGATACCGAGCAGGGAATCTAACGAATATGGTATTCTTGTGAAAAGAACTGGTACCCAACGCTACCTTTACGATACATAGAACAAACTTTTCTTGATGCTCTAGCGACATGCGCCCGGATTGGAAGCCAATATGATTAACTATCTTGCCCGGGAGACAAGCAGAAGGAAACGCTTGGCGAGGAGAACGTTCAAGAGCATCGAAGGAGTGTTGAAAAAGACAAAGTACATCCATCTCCGCAACCATCTTCACTACGGTTGATCTTGCCTCGTCTTACGCCTCAGAGACTTGAGCTCGACGTAGCAACTTGCTTGAGTACGCACAGCGTCATTCATTCCCTGTGAGGAGGCAACGCTTTGAGTTTCCCGATACACGCAAATGAGGAATCCCGGTTTCTGATATTCGTCAGGATACGAAGATCATGGAGGCTTGACGCTTGCAGCTGGGCCGGACACATCATGCGATTCTGGGAGGGGCGCTGGAAAGGAGAATACCGAAAGGATTACTCGGGACCCAGGCAAACACCACGACCACTGCCAGCCTAGCGTCAAACCTCTTCACGGACACTCTGAACCGAAGGAATGCTTCGCGGCTTTCCAGCGGAGAGAACCCACCGCTTAACTTTGGCTCGCCGATCGGGGAACGCACCGTATACTTCTTCTGTAGAGGGGTGTGCATCTACACAACAGCATGGGTTCTATGAACAGTCAGATACATTCCGTAACAATAACTGTGACAGTTATTGCCCAGACAACCATCAGTATAGGACGTCGACCAATCTAGTAGAATTTGCGCATTATTGTCGATGGAAGTCGGTTGAGTCGAGGAACGTGTCGTGCCGTAACTCTGTATAGAGATGGGTGATAAGGCACCTACAGCCCAGTTTTTATGGTATCAGGGATATTCCCTACAAATAATTTATCGTATCATCACAATTCTCGTGAAGCTTTTCACCAGAATGCGTCGTCGACTATGAGAGCACCGTGACAGAAAACTGCTCCGACCAGACCTCCACAGAGGTAGCTCACAGCGACGTTCACCAAGCTTAGTGAACGATTCGTCATGAGGATACCTTTTTGTTTCCTCCAATTATTATCGGACGACGCTTTTCAACTGTATTTACTAAAAATGTGACAATTTTGCTTTGCTTCGGTAATAATAAAGATAATAAAAATAGTAACACTCGTTCCTCACACTCACCCCGTCTGGAACTGCAACTGCTATAGAGAAGTACGCAAAGAGAACTGAAGACCGAATGAATGCATCTGGATGGAACTTCAGAGGAGCAACGATATCTGCCAATGAGCTGAAAGCGTTTTAGAGTAAAATTAGGACATTTGTCGGGTCCGTCATTACAGGGAAAGAACTAACATCGCCATTTTCACCACAGTCGGAGCATTCGTTGCCTTCTGAAGGATATCACTCACAGTGAATATTAATCGTGCTAAGAATGGTGAGTCTCGGCCCTGAAAAAGAATTCGGTTTATAGGTTTCTACTTTTTTCTACGTTCACAAAATGAATAATACCAAATGGGTCATGGGCATCAGCGCTTTCTTCTGAAAAAGAAAGCTCGCCTACCGCCCACGGAAGCCACGTACTCCCCCAACTTTCCTCAAGCGTACACTCAAACTCGCAGTTATTACTGAAGGGTATCATGTCACCCAGATTCAAACTCCCATCAAAACGAAATGTGTTAACTGTCAGCACTACACCCCTGTAAAATATAAAGCCTTCTACAGGAGCTATACTCATACTTCACCATGAGGGTTTTGCACTTTTCAATTTTTCGGTCCATCCACTTAGAAACTACAATACAGATGGACGGTTTCAATTTTTTTGTGTCTGAAAATAGCAAGTGTACAACTGTGTGTTTTATGCCCCGACTAGGCTGTTCGTCTAAACAAAAGATGGGAGTATGGCATCATGGCAAGAGAATCGTAAAGTCTGAATACTCATACTTACTGGGCTGAAGGACTGCGCGAGGAAACACTTGAAACTGCACCTAAGGAATACACATCAAAACAACACACCTTCAATTCCAAATGTTCTTCTGTTTGAGTCCTCAGAAGAGGGTAGAAGAACAGGGTCGCTACTGGAGCAAATCGACTTGGAGCTACGACCTCCGGCTTCTTTTCGCTTGTAAACCGCCGTGTGTGAGAGCGTATCCGTGCTTCCACCACTGCTCTCCAATCATTGGGCTGAGATAAGTAGACTCATCAGAATTGCGCTATTCCATGAATGGACCTGAATGAGCTCACGTCTTGCTCCTTATTTTTCTTCGGCAACTCGACGACCTTTTTGGTGGCCGGTTCATTAGGAAATTCGGATAGTTCCTTCGCAGCGGCAACGAAGCACTCCAGAATCAAATATCTGAATAATAAAAATGGGTTACTTATTAAATGCAAGAAGAAAGAAGATCAAATGATGGGACTATCAAAACGCTACCGCCATACATTATATAGGCTTTGAAACGAGCCCCGGAGAGTGTTGCTAGAATCTTATAATCGTAACTTTAGGTACCTAGAGGACGAAAAACCGAGATGCTCATTTCTATTTCCATTAGAGTATTGAAGCCGTCAAGGCTGTCAAGTGTGTGAAGAGCATCAGGGAACATCATCACTACCGAACTAACTTACTTTCAACGCTCTGAAAGGACAGTCACTGCGTTCGGAAGACAACGGATAAATTCACAAGCGGACTCTGTGCTGACTCTTCCACCACTTCAGCCTATCTACCCATGTACTTGCCATCTTAGGCCGCATATGTAGATACGTCCTTCCTTCGTACCCTACTCTTCCACTCATCTACCATCTGAGACCCTTTCTAAGCCCACCGTTTTGGAATCGGCAAGATCAAGTGGAACCGCACAGAAATGGACGGCACATTACATAGTCATGTTTCAAAAGTATATAAAGATGTCAGTGTGATAAGAGCCTTTAATCACAGAACGAACCGATGGAAAAAGGCGCAACTTCGAGAAAACACCATATCACCCAGCTTCGGAGCGATTTCGGGGCGCATCACTAAGCATGATATAAGACATTGTTTTCGGATATCCTTAACAGCATCTTCATTACGAGATCTCTTAAGACCTAGTAAGTCAAGCATAACCAGAGAAATTGAACCGATAGTAGATCAAGTACCTCGAAATTCTTCGTTGAGAACTTATCCTCCAAGAAAACCAACTTTTTCGCTAAATTTTGAGCAATATCATTGAATCCAATCGCTTTCCTTCTGATCATTCCATTCAAAGCGAAAAATGCCGCTTCAAATACCTACAACAGCTCCTGTTAAAAACCCGTTGAAAACATCAGAATCAATGAAAGTTGCACCTCATACTTCTCCTTTTCACTCAATTGTTCATAACAGTCCCGTATATAATATGGTGTGGGAGCTTTTCTTTCAGGCTCAGCACCTTCAGATAGCTGGAAAAGATTAATTGCCTCATTAATGGGGACTCAGAATAAAATTTTTTGTTGGTAACGTACAACTTCAAATTGTTTTTCACTTTCTGGCACTTCATAAGCAGGGAAGTCTTCCTCATCGTCACTGTCAACTGCTTGCGTTTCCGTGACAGCACTGGACGACGAAGGAAGCTGTACGTCGGCACATTCCGGTGAAGGTGATACTTCCTCGCTAATTGTTTCTTCAGAAGGCTTGGTAGCACCATCGCGAAGTCTCAAAACGGCATGCATTTATTTGATTGCGAACACCAGTAACGCAGCCTCAATCCCCCATGTTAGAAAATATTGGACCATGTGAACACTACTCTGTGTGCCGCAACGCAACCGCACGCTGACGGTTGAGTCTAGCACGCGCTGCCGCGTACGGTTGCGATGCTGCGCACAGGGGAGGGTGAAACGGTTCGGTATCTTCTGCTTCCTCCATAGAGTCTCGAGATGAGTGAAACTCCCAACTTTTTACTCTCGAAAAAAAAAGGTTGCACTCAAGCTACCACAGAAACCTCAACAGAGTACCCACAAACAGTTTTATATTCTCTCACACATGTAATAAAGTGACCTGTCTGAAAACAAACCTCAACCCACTAGACTGAACCGAAAACTTAAATATTTCTCACCTACGCATTTCCTCTAGCCATGGATCTTCCGTATATTCAAACTCTAGCCGCTCTCCACCCATCCATCCAGAGAACGCTTCACCAACGAACATTCCCGATTGCCGAATTACGACGTCTTAAATGTATAGGACAGCATGAATCAATACAATTAGGCTGAAAAGCTCAAGCCCAGATAAGGAGAGTGTCCGGAGATTTTCTTATCTGAACAAACGATTGAATATGACGTAGCCGAGGAAGAGAGCGCATTATAAGCACCCAACTGTGCAGGCTAGAATATACCGCACCACAAACGCGCGCGTCTTCCTCGGCTACTTCGAACGATACTACTACCCATAAGTAGGAGAAAGGAAGAAAATTAACCTGGATTCCCCAGACGTAGCTCTACTCCTTTGATGGCTATGTCAAACAATTCTTTCCAAACATGCGATGCACTCATTCCGCTGAAAAATACTTATTTGCAATCTTATGACTCGCACCCGTTTCATTCATTGTCGCAGGTCGCTTTAGCTTATATTAAAGAAGGCAAGGAGCATCCTTAATAACTACTCATGAAAAGGGGAAAGTCGTGCTTTCGGCTAACTCTGTGAAGCTTCTGATGGAGATCTCGTGAACTCGACAGGAAGACTACTGCACAACGAGGACCCCGGAATCCCACAAGAATCGAGTCTCCGGAACTTACTTAATCCACCGGCCGAGTGCAAGTATCACCCTTGTAAGATGCATTTGTTGTTCAACTGCTACGTAACGTACATGCGACACATCAGACCAAATCGAAATCGCTGCCTAAATCAGGACTTATTTTTGTGGAAACAAACGATGTAGAGTTTCTAGAAATTACCATTTTTCAGTGATCACAAATGCTCTGATCATTAACTAGTGAGAAATCATCGCAATGCGTACTGTAGTAAGATCTCTCGGTCCATTGTATCGTTGCAATTTTCAGGGTTCATAGAAGGTCATGCTGTATGCTTACGTTCTTGTGTTTTTTACAAGTATTATACTTCTGATTCTCATAAAGTGCTTCTCAAGCAACCTCTGTCTATTCCCCGAAAATCATCAAACAATTAGTTTAGCTCCTAGATTTACCTTCATCGTTTGCACGTAAACTTCCTTTGTAGCGGCCATGTGGAGATAGTCCGCCAACGCTACGACCACGTTGGGTTCGCAGACTCGTTGAAGAAACAGTTTCGTACAGCAAACACGATGGACTATAGGATTACGACGAATAACCAAGCCAAAGCAACGCTGAAAGTAGAAATTTTGGTCATATAGTTTCTGAAGGACGGGGATGGTGTAGTGGCAAATGGAGCACTATCACACGAGCGTTGTTACGGGTCGAATTGCGGATCGATTTCGCCCGAGCCAATCAAACCTTCCATCCCTCCTGGGTCGGTTCTCACCAGACCCGTGTTAAGGATGTAGAGCACTGATTGTGTGTCGGCCATCTACCGTAAGACATGGTATAGGCCACAAACGCATTCAATACGCCACTACGATTTTGTATGGAAATCGAATGCGGGGCACATCCTTAAACGAGGTTAATTGACGCCTGGAAACATTCTTATCCTATTATAGTCCCTGAAGCTTAGCTGTTGGAACACCGCTTATCGTAAAAAGTTTTTTTTTGTATTCTTAGCCACAATCGGTGAGATTCTGAACACAGAGCCTAAATGGATCATATTTGGGATCAAATTGACTCTCGACCTCACAATCACACCGGCATAGTGGATAAGTTAAACGAACAAAAGAGTCGGATAGTGAACATTAGAGTGGTAAAAGTTACTTGTAAGTACGGCGTACTAAATACAAATACAATGTTGTTGTTGATTTGGTAGCATTTTCTAGCCACAAGAAAAAATGACCCAAAGAACTATTGATAAGGGCAACATTTGGGACCCACTAGGATTGGCTCCAAGTATTGGTTTCAAATGATCGAGTTTAGAAGAATCGAAATGAAAACGTGGCCACCTTACCATGAGGTCTTCAGTTTTTGATGCAGACAACGCGGCTTCTATAACAAGAGCCTCCGCATCTCGGGTAGGAATGGAGTCATCGGTGAAAATACGTTGAGCGATTCGATCCCAGATTGCAGACTCTTCACGGGAGCACAACCACTTTACGACATACCGCAGAAGAGTTGATTCCTTCAAAGAATTGATGCGCAGCATTTCTAATGGTGAAGATAAGAATGTCCATCATACCATCACAACGATAGTGCGACTTTTTGCGATTAGCAGGGCTAATACACGCAGATCCACATCCTTCTCAGCCACGACTGAATCGTACACGTGTTGCAGAGAACTCGTCAGAGCAGAACATAGCGAGCCCTTGAATGCCAGTGGTTTCTGTTAGTTTTAAGGGCTGACCTAGATTCACAATGCGAACAGAAAAGATTTAACCAAGCCACCTGCCAGTCTGAAGGCAGCTACTATATTCTTTATATTCGAATAGGAGGAATATCGGTCTCGCAACCTCCCTCTTCACCCCCCCCCCCCCCCCCCCCCCCCCCCC